AGCGTTTCCTGCTCAGAACAATGCGAATGCGTATGCCCAAGGTAACTAGGTTACTGTGTGGTTCAGGTGGATCAAAATAGCTACCCACGATATGACGGATTACGAGAACTATATTTTTTGTACATTTTCGATGTATTTACATTTTTTCACTATAATAGTGGCAAGACATGTTTTATTTTTTCATTACAAACTTTGAACATTGATATATGTCATGTCAGAAGGTCGTAGCCTCAGTCTCGCTATCTACGAGAAGAGACATGATTGGGATCTTGACATGATGTCACCATACAGTACTATGCGAGTTGCAAACCCCAAGTAATGTACCTCTGATTGCAGTTATTAATTCAAAATTACAACGCATAATCAGAGTTCATAGATAAGCCGCTATTCAAAAGTTTTTAGCCAATTCTGCATTGTTAGAACAGGAATTTTCCTAATTTACAAATGCAGTCAATTTTCTTCTAATATTCAATTTGAAATAAATATAAGCAGTAAAGTACAGATGGCAAACAGTTTAGTAATAATAACAGCACTCAATAATTTCAGGAATAATTATAATTTTTTTTTTTACAAAACTGTGTGCAATGAACACAAAAGAAAACTCACAACACAGTAACGTACAGCACTGATAATAGGTGTGAACGGATAGATGGAAATAGAAAATGTAATATTGATTTTTTTTCTCATTATATTGCTTTTACTTATCTCCTGCTTGCCCTTTTCAAGTTCATATGAATGTTTAAATTAATTAAACTAGAATATAAATTGGTTTTAGCAGTTGAAAGTAATCAACAATCATTAGGTATATGTGTGACCATTGTAGTTTACTGTAATTCTCGGATTTCATACATTTTGTCACAGAGAACATTTCACTGACGAATTTTATCCATTAAACTATAAAACTTCTATGTTTTACCAAATTAGCTACAAATTAGAAAAACAAAATTAAAATATTATGTGCACTGTTATTTTGTAAATGATGTCAAAACTTTGGTATTAATGAAGAGAAGAATATTTTATGATGCATCCTATTATGTTGAATGTATACCATATACATATACATCTATGGCAAGCTATCCATTAATCATTCTCCAGGGAATGTAAATCTCTCAAAGATACAACACAAGTATTTTATATTGCAATTTTGTTGAACACAAAAATAAGTTAGTATACAAGTCTAGCAGCCATGGGGACAAGTCTCACAATATTTCTGTTAATATATATGTGGCTTCAAGCAATGAAGTTCTTAGGGACTGTACACATGACTGCACACATGTAAGAAACTGACAATCTCAAGGGTTTATGTATCCAGGGGTCTTTATGGTTTGACTAACTGCCAGCATCCAGGGTACCATATGTGATTACCACTTGTAAGACATCAAAAAACAACCACAGAAAATTACCATTAGGAGACATGGAGGAGTTTCCTAGGTACACAACACTTCAACAGCGATAATAGTTTCACTCTTTAAGTATCTTGTTGTCATAGAAATATCCAATTTAGGTTAAGATGTCTACACCTCCAGAGAGAGGTACCTCCCTCCAGAGTATCTAATCAGTAAAATCAATGTAGCATAAATAAAATGGCCATGGCAATGCAGAAAGCAGTGACAAGTGATGAAGGAGAGGAAAAAAACGATGAAGACAGAATATTGCAAAATGCTTTACCAGTAATTTTGTGGGAGATAAATTATTGCAAGTCAGTAAAAATCGTGATATTTTGTCGCCGTGACAATTTTTCAAATGACATTACATCATAATTTTGATAGAATCCTAATGGTGGAAATCAAATAAAATTTACTGCACATGTTTGTACAAGTAATTCAAAGCTAACATTCACTGAGGAGTTCACATAACGCACATAATTTTGTCTATGAGAGAAAAACAAGGTTTTCGTTTACTATGAATCATTATATAACCCAGTGAGTATGTAAACAATATTCAATCACAGGGATTGTACAATGTAGTGGACTCATTGATCGATACATGTTGTAGACCTAAGTTTAAACCATACTTGAGTTGAACACCAAGAGAATTGACCAAGATAGATGAATGCACCACAGACTCAATGAGAAGGCTAAATTCACTAACCAAGATTCATTTATCAACTGATATCACGTGAATGTGGGAATACCGTAGCATTTTCCTCAGGTAGCTTCCATTGATACAAACTATTCAGAAATTTATAACCTTGGTAAACTCATTTGACTCAATCTGAAAAGGTCACACACCCTTGTCATGTACACACATGGTCCCAAAAATAGAATATGGTTTCTGTGGAAAATACACTGTATTTCAGCACTTGTACTTTGCACATACTGGAGAGACTAACTTGTACTTTGCACATACTGGAGAGACTAGAGTGAATGTCCGGGACTGTTTCTTGGCACAAAAATATCCGCAGACAGTTCTTTCAACTGGAGGTGACATAAATTATTATAATTCATCAAATTAGCAGCAAAAAAACATACAGCATTGCATGCAAATTTGAAAAGTCAAATAAAACAAATGTAAATCTGGAGCATGGTACGCATTTATTATTTCTCAAAATATTATAATAATAATTTTCCTGTAACTATCAACTATATACTATGATTTAACCTTGTCACTATCAGTTCCGCCTTTTCATCACACAATAGTCTCGCTTATAGTCTTTACTTTTCTTTAGAAGATTTGGACACAAATATTGAAAGTTTTTGAGTAAAAACTGAAAATTGACTCAGTTATGTCTGATGGCAAATGCCATGATATTTGTAGCATAACTACTTTTTATTAATCATCGATATTATAATTTTTATTTGCTTCATTGTTATGGTAATTGCGTGGTCGCACGCAATCTAGACAAAGTCGCTTTTTGAGACATTAGAATAAAGTTTTCTGACAAAATTTACACATTTACTGTACTTTGATTAAAATAAAATTGAGTTAGTATTTCAAAATAACTAATGCAAGATATTCACACTTTAAGTTTACTATAAGAAATGTACTTAGACTGAACAGTGGAATAGCCTTTGAGACTTTGTATTGTTTACCTCCAAAAAAGTTTCTACGTGTGCACAGTGTCAAGTTGAGGTTTTATACAAAATGTTTGAAAGCTGTTTAGACAGTGGATTGCATTTCCAGAGATGTACAACTTCAGACCTTAGTTGGTATGACATTACCTCTAGTGTGTGTATGTGTACGATGATGTGGGTTTTATTTTGAGAATGGTGACAGTAGCTGACTGGTACTCTAAGGCTTTATAAATGGCACAGAAAATTCATAGATTGAGTAAGCATTTTTTAAAAGTGTTTTTTGAGAAAGCAGAAAGGCAGAATTTAGAGACAATCATCGCAAATACAGTATACAAAAATTCAAGTGGTTTTGCACCATTTTTCATTTTCACATAAAGTTAAACAATTAATTTTAGATAGGGTAGGGCTATATCAGAACCACCCATTTTTTATTTGATCTAAATGGCTCTAAATCTCAGACTAGTAATACAACAGACTCGCAACGCCTATTGTTTAAGGTGTTAATCGGCTTAATTGTATATGCTATGCGTGCCACGCTCTGTCGCATTGGCATAGACACTGTCGAAGTTTACCGAACACTGGATATTCTGCACACTTCACGCTTCTTCGGAAATTGTGTATTTCTTCGTAAAATGGATCAGGACATTTTTAAAAAAACGTGAGATGCGTTCTGGACATTTTGACCTTTGCAGCTGTGTAAGAATTTTAAGAATCGACCAACAATCAGGGGAGTTACAAGTAACTGAATGTCTTAGTGTTTACCTCAAATAGTTTTTGAATATATAATGAGCAACTTTGAAACGATATTTCTCACTGTTGCGGATTTTGCAGAAGGTTTCCAATATTTTTGAGAGAGCATATCGCTGCGTTTTGAACGATCATACCTCTTTGTGGGTTACCCGTTTTGTTTTTGTGTTTCGGGATGCCGAAACATGAGGAGACGCTAAAATTGACAAGCTTCTAAAGCATATTCCATCATAGATTAGTCACTGTTATTATTATTATTATTATTAAAAGTCCAATTAATTATGTATGCACCGGGAGTATGAATGCTTATCAGGGACAGGAATGAGGAAACAACTATCAATAAATAATATAATAGAAAGTCAGTCTTCTGAATATCAGATAACTACGAAAAATAATAGTTTTTTGTGTCAGCCACAAAGATAATTGGGCTAATATGTTTCTATAAACATACACACTAGTAGAAATAGTAAGTATGGTACAGGTCCAAGCATAGGGACAATTGACATGTTCTATCACATCAAGCCAATCAAAACTTCCATACCAAACTACTGTGAATTGAAACAATGCAGTTTCTATACAAGGTTCCACATTTATCTCACTAATTATTTACTGTGTGCCAAGAAAACCTCAATTCAAAAGCTGGTTGGTTTGTTATTGTAGACCAGAGTAGTGATATGATATCTCATCAAACAGTGTTTTGATCAACCAATAAGCTTCCTGCATTTGATCTCCACTTTTTATGTCCACCAAGGTCAAGGGTCATGTGAAGCACGAGGGGAAATTTCCCTTACTATGCAATGCAAATACTATTGATTAAATTTGTCATAAATAGATAAACAAGTTGTAGGGCACCAAGTCAAATCAGCCAAAATAAGTGTTTGTTGAAATGATTTTTTGACCTAACTACTATTGCTAATGCTTGCTTGCCAATACAGGATGAAATAATATCACTGCATTAATGATTTATAAAGAGGTTTTGACATAAAAGACGATGTTTCTGCCAAGTCCACATTAACTGTTAGACCTGCCATGTGATCATGTTTTGAAAAGGGTCAAACAATAAACAATACATCATCCTTGAACCAACTTAGAAAAAAAATTGGTCAAGGACCAGCTGAGAACTGTAATCATACAAATAATGAATCCAATTTATAAAGCTCAAACTTTTCTACTCATGTGGCCATTCATTACTGGTTTTGGGGGAAAATTACCATAATTTTAATATAGATTGTTGAATACCTTGTCTGTGCTGCTCTTCAAGTAAATCGGTATGAAGCGCTAAATACCGCTCTTCATCACAGAGAGTTTCAATTCGAGATTCTTCCTCAGATAACTGGTGCTCTACATTCCAGGCATCAACATCATAGTCTGAAAGATCATGGAGGTACCCTCGTCCATCATATCTAATAAAAATAAAGTAAATTAGATGATAATCAGATGATAAGCATTATCGCTATGGGTATTAAGTTTTATATACAGTATTGGCTCTATTAGTAGCACATGTACTAACATAAATGACAACTTGGTGCCTATGGTTATAATACGTCATATTTTAATGATCTTACACACAATAAAAGCAACTTTTGATTTACATGTGCTTCTGTTGTACGACGTTCACATGTAAAGAATTCAGAGTCAACTTTAACACACTATTTAAAAATACATGTGAACTGATAAGCTCAGTGTTGCCCCAGGTTAACATTTCGTTTAGCTAAGCGTATAGAACTGGTCTTGAGCTCAAGCTCTGTGGTAAACCCCAAGATAACATATGCATGAACATGGTGGAGCACATGTCATTAACTCCAATCTAATGATTCCAAGCAAAGTTGGCAAAATTATGTTTTATCTTAAAAAAAAAGATTTTTGATTTCTAGTTGGAGAGTCTTTGAAACTTAATGGTATAGAGACGAATGTACAAGCTTTAGAGTTTCCCCCAGGGCATTATAGAATAGGGGTTCCCAACTGTTAATTTTGGATAAACAATAGAACCAATTTTGCATAACAATGAATACAATATATATCATTTACATATTTATATTGTTATGCAAATTGTCCAATACTGTATGCACTATTATCTTTGATGGCTATAATTATATTAAAACTAGATTAAATGTTCATACTGCGAAAAACTGAGGCTGGACATAATGAATGCCCAATTAAACTATGTCAAAGTAGTCTGAAATGCAACAGTTTGACACTGATTTGTATACAACTACCTGCACTACAACAATGTTAAACACCATATTAAACTTTAGCATATGAAAAGAACTTTGGTTAAAATTAATCCACTGATAAATGTCTACAATTAGAGTTAGCCATGCTTTTACCAGTATGTTATGATAATAGAGCAAGTATTTGTCTACCAAAGTTAGCATTTGAGGTTTTAGCCTTGAACTGCTTTTCCAATGTTAACAGAATGTTGAGCATGAAGAGAAAAAAACTTCATACATGAATGCTTCCAACCAAAACATCAGTCACCATTAAGTACACCAACTGTATTTTATGTCATTTGGGTAGGTCATTGATTTTTTAAAATTATTTAAGATGGTGGTCTGACTAGCATGCAACTCTCTAATTAAAATGTTTCTATGAAAACACATTGAAGTGATAATAATAATTATAAATAGCCAAAATATGCGACTAGGTTGCAAGGTGCATAGTATATTTCCTGGTTCTGCAGGTAAGGCTTTTTTTATTCTTTGTTTCGCGAGTTTTTATAAGGCAATTTTTTTGAGGAGAGTAGAAAACAAATAAAATTAATTCTTTTTTTCCATTAGATTTGTGTGATTCTCAAAGAATAGTAAGTGATATCATTGATCAGAGAGAAGAAATGAAATCAAATGTTATTCCATGTATACCCTTGTTTCTCATCTGCGCGAGACTTCGATACCTTGATCATGATACTCCCCCGAAAATGCAACTTTGATTTGTTATGCGGCGGGCGGTAAAATTTTAAGATAAAAATAATATTTTTTTAGCATTTTTTTGCGCTTACAAGTCGGCGGGCGCGAGAAATTACGATGAAATAAAATTATATTTTTATTTCATTTTTGGCTCCTGTTCATTTGCCGGGTTCGCGAAACAAGGGATAATAAAAGTCTGGCCTAACAGAATCAAGTCTCCTTGCCACTTAGACAATACATTACAGTTATGACTTAGAATATACAGCCCACATAATAACTTACTCCATATACCAGACACATAAAATGAATTTATGAATGAAATCTCTATTTAATGACTGTAATGAAACAACGTGTCCAAGGACATGCGTGTAATTTTATTTTATAACGAAAGTGATAAACATGCACATAACTTTAGTGGAATATTTGACACTAAATAGTTAGATACTACAGGGAGACAATGTCAAAGATGTTTACTTGTAAGAAAGTTACCAGTGAAGTTATTGAACTTTAGTTTATTTAACACCGTAGATTAAAATTGACACTAGCACTGCAAAATCTATTATTACTTGATAATTTCAACAAGCACAACATGCTGAGCTACGCAATTAATCAAACAGGAAATATTTTCATTACATAAATTAGCAAAAATACAAAAAAGCCAAAAAAAAATATTTTTTAAAGTTTGTACACACAATCTAAAGCACAAAATAATATACTAGTACATGTATCAAAGTACTAAAAAACCAAGATAGATTGGGACATCTATTGTTAAAGTTTATTCTCTAGTTTCAGATGCAAGCTGTCTCAAACAGCTGTGGCAATAGGTAGTTTGCCCTTGACAATAAAACAATGACCTCAAGGCCTGTCACTTCTTTAGTTATTTACTTGCAATTTATTATGATTGTCTCTGTCCTCATTGGGGTAAAACAACAGAGGTTCTGAATTGACCTTATATTTTCAGACAAGCTCTGGTTCCCTCTGTAATATAAATACCACTACGACGGACAAGTTATGTTCTCCACACTCATTGTAACTATGTCATCAGGATTATTAGGACAATCCCACGACTCCAATTAGCAAATCAGATATTTATAATTTGTTTCATTTTAGAGTTCAAGGACAAAATACAACTGTATCAAGGAGTTTGAGATCTTTCAGTTGAAAAATAAAATATTTGGTACCAGCAAAACACTCACAAAAGTGTGAATTTCTTAAAAAGTCAATAGGATTTACAAGAAACTTGCAACTGGCTATTGGGGGGGGGGGGGGGGCAAGAACAACAGTTTTCCACATGACTGAATATAATGATGTATGTCAACTACTGTGGAATACTTTATTTTCGCTGGATTTAATTTTCGCTGAAAAGGCTTTTTAGGCATTTTGCTTGGAATTTATTTTCACTGATTTTTGATGAGTTTAATGTAATATATAGGAAAAAAAATATATTCGCTGGATTTTATTTTCACGGAATTATCCCTTCAGCGAAAATAGCGAAAATTTATTCCAAGCGAAAATAAAGTATTCTACAGTAATTAGAGGTATCAACTCACAGTAACTAAAGATAACAAATACTGCAAACCAGTACTGCTGGTTAAACAAATAAACTTCTTATAAGTTTCATGTTTCAAAATAATGCTTTAGACTGGCTTCCCATGAACTGAATCAAGGTTAAAGCACTTAGAGCTAGGTAAAGTTAGTGGTTTCACAGTGAATGAAAATAACAATAAAGTGAGAAGTATTGCACAATAACTAATAGGTAATCAAAAACTGACCACTTAATGTCAATGAAATTAACACATAGACAGTCAGGCTCCACAACAACCAAAGTACCAGAATGCAGGGCTTTTTTTAAGGATGAAATAGCTATTTTGAACCATAATTTTGAGATTTTGGAATGTGAACACACAAATACAGTGTACAAGTATTATTTTATATCACAAGTATCCTCAGGTTTCAATGATACATTAGGAGAACATTTTACATCAAAATGCCGCTTTAAAGCAGTTTTTCTGAAACTTAATTATTTTATTTTATTTGGAGCTAAATCCAAGATATATGAAGCTAAGTAAAGTAAAACTAAATTTGTTATCATTGTTCAGTTTCATGTGTCCCCCTTCACTCAATAATTCTGACTGTCAGGATCAAATTCATCTTTTTTTATTATTAATTTTTAAAAAATGACAGGTTGTACGGGTCACATGAATAATATTAATTATAGTTATACTTCCATGGTCATTATTCAGGCTACCAACAAATAAATTGGTATGAATTACCACATACCTCGACCGACTGAATGGTTAGGCTCGATATTATATGTGGCTGCACTATTTACGTATCCTTGATTGAACTAGGCTGGAAATTAAACCGGTTGTATGAAAAAATAAGATACTGTTTTGCCTAAACTCCCCCTGTTTTATTAGTTTTCTGAAGCGTTCCCATTCAATGCAAAGCAGCTGGTCGGGTCAACAAGCAAGTCCGCATTTATTGGAAATTGCAACGGACAACACACAATATCTGTCATTTCGTGAAAAGTACCCGGGGAGCGGAACAAATATCGACTTCGCTTTCTGTTATATAGTGAGCTTCTTGAATTAATCTACAAGAATTTATATAATTCGTGATACTTTTATCACAGAATAAATGACGCCGCGATGTGTGAGCGACGTTGATTTATTGTTATCATTATTAACCGGCGAACGGCAAAGTCCGGTGTAGTCGTAATTGCGTTACAAAAACAAAAACAACTTTCATAGCTCACATATGTTAGAAACAACTGTCTAACAACGCTTACTATTATATTTACGTATTACTGTTGCTTGCCTTATGAACAAAGGATGAGCGTTTTCCCGCGAGGAAAGTTGAATTACTACTGACCTGTCTATCATTAAACTTTCGTCGCCTGTCCATGGAATTAAGTGTTTTCCTCGTTCAATATACAAAGCTTTTTCGTCATCGCGGAAGAGTTTAGCCGCATAACCGAATACAAACAGTTCATCCACTTCTTCTTCTCGTGCTTTCGCAGTTCCAGAAGGTATTACATCAAAAAAGTGTGCTCTTTTCGTCTTTATCTTCTTACCGTGTAGAGCCATATTTGTAATGAGTCACTTACATTGGCAGCATTTCGGTTTTTTCCATCAACATGACTCTGAGCCGTATTCGTGCCCAAGTCTCGCGAGATTTTAACGTGATTGTAGATAAGCGCTTAGTAAGTTTATACACCAAAATTCAAAAACTATATTCTCAAAACAGAGAAAAATCTGAATCATACCTATGGGTAAAAATTCAATGTATTATTATATTAATTAATTCTTTATGTTATGTTGGAATTTTCTTGACGTAGTTTTGCAATTGGTTCAACTATTGTGTCTGAACATACAGACTGTAAATAAAATAATATAATCAGTTCCTAATTCCGGTCTTTTCTAGCTGAAGTTAAAATGGAGGCTGTGTATAAAATCCCTTTCACAGTTTTGCAGTGCCCTAACCTTCGATTAAAGAAACCATCATGGATAAAATTGCCTTCAGCAATGGCTATTTATGCTTGTATTCTTCTTTCCTATTTTCTCGTTACTGGAGGTAATTTAAATTTCTCGTTATATGGAGCGTTTTGGGGGTGGTCGAGCACACAGCTGCTCGTCTGCAGACCCGGAACTGGACACGTCAACACACTCGTTCTCCTTGAAACCAGCACTTCACATGGCGTCGATCAAAACAAAAGAAACTTCAAAAAGTCGTCTTTATTTCGAACTTGGAATGCTGACTCACCAGTAAGCAAGATGCATAGCAATGCTTATTATATTTAACCATGTCGTGTGATATATTACAGGTGTTATATATGATGTAATTGTGGAGCCTCCCAGTGTAGGTTCAACAACAGATGAAAATGGGCATCAAAAACCGGTATGCTATTTTTTTTTATCTATGAATATACATATCTAAATGTGATTCCAGGACAAAGTGTGTTTTTTTTAATTTTTTTTATCCTTATGA